ACCTCTTTCTTGCCAGTTTGGAAATATTTTACACTGTCTTTCAAGCTCAATTAAATACATTTTACCCATATTGAAAAACGGAGACTTAAATAAGTGAATAAATCTTTTCAAGATGACAAACCCAGGGAGGGGCAGTGCTGACCGGGCAGACCACCCAGGAAAGTTTCAAAAAGGAACCTCCACTCCAAGGACTTCCCAGAGGCTGTCTGCGCCCAGAAAGACCCTGGGGGGAGGGGCACAAGGGTTTCACACAACGTAGTTCCAGGTGGTTATAGGCTGCTTTTCTCTCGTGTAAAATATCCACAAACATTATCTTTACAAAAGAGCCAGCCATGGCTCTGGGGGAAAAGGATAAACAAAATACTGTGCCTGTTCGAAATGCACCAAGAAGGACAAATAGTCGATAACGATGCTGTGAACTGGAGACGGGAAATTGGCTTTGGGAACGCGGTGAGAGACTGGAAATTTAGGCATTTGTTGTCAGCCCTAGGAAGACCTGGACTGGGGGACACGGTCGTGGATTTGAGACTGTACTCTCAAAATATATGGAAAATTCAGGGGAAAAAGGTTCCCCCTGGGGAGAAAGGAGGGACTGGGTCCCTCCCCACGGACCACAGCTCCTCCCACGCAGGAGCCCCGGAGACCGAGTCATGACTGTCCCCGATGACCCTCCCCGTGGTCACCGCACCATCTGGGGACACGCGGGGCTGCGGGCGCAGAGCTGCCCAGAGAGGCTCCGGGGCCGAAGTCGCCGCGCGCAGTGACCACAGGACGCCCGGGCTCCCGGCCGCTGGCCCGGCCCCCACGCTGCGGCCGGAGGGGACTGAGGTCCGAGCGGCGCCCCCGCGGACTCGGGTCCGCAGACTCGGAGGTGACCGCGGGGAAGCCGGTCCCGCCCAGCCCTCCTCCCCGTCTCCTCACCCGGGGCCGCGCACGCGCCATTTCTAGTCTCCTGGGTCCCCCGAGTCCTTCCTATGTCGTCCACGGCCAGTGCAGATCACAGAGTGACAGGGGCCGCAGCAGAGCCACCAGGGACTGTGAAAGGCAGGCGACGCGCGACTGTGAGCGAGGCCGGAATACGGACGTCCACGCAGGTGCGTTGCGTCGCCCCGCCCACAGCGCCAGCACCGCCCCTAGTTGGACAGCTCCCAAGGCCGCGCCCCCTCGCCGCTGAGTGACATCACACAGCGAGGACGCTCGGCTCCAGGGAACCACCTTCCCCAGGAGGGCCGGAATCTGCCCCCATCTGGGTCACACCTTCCCGGCCTGGGGCTGACTCCGCTCTTCCCGCAGCTTCTGCAAAACAAGTGGTCACAGGTGTGCACTGGGAATTTCTGATTCAGTTTCAAGAAGGAGCAAGTGCAGACAAGACGGTGCCCGGGCCAGGACAGACTGGAAAAGAGGCTCTTATGTCCTCTAAGGGTCAAGGGCTTGGGGTAAGGCTGCGAGGCCACTCGTGGAACACTGACCCTTGTTTAGAAACGCAGACACTTAAGTGTGACCTTACCATCTATAATAAAGACTCTGGCTCCATTTTGATCTTTCCTCCTTGCCAGCGTTCAGCCTTCCACCCGTCCCTGCACCACCCCCACTCATTTGGTTCTCAAGATCAAGAATCCCGGGGCACTTGACTCGCGTGGGAAGTTGGAACCTCACAGCCCTAGCTGGGTACAGGGTCTCTTCTCACCAACCACAAGCAATGAGATGTGTTCACCAAATTCTCAAGTGTACGTTTTACACTGGAAGGAGATTGATTTCGGATCAGTTTTTTCGTGCGTCCCTAGAGGTTTGAAATGTAAACGGTATAATATCCCTATGGCAGCTGATTCCCATTTTCACTACTATATTGTTATGTAAATATGGGATGCAACTGGAAACTCTTCTCCCCCCAGCTTTAATGAGGTATAATTGACTAACAGCGTCTGTATTAGTGTCCGTATTTAGAGATTACAACGGAGTGATTTGATATACTTATTCTGTACTGTATAATTGAAATTAGCTAAGAGGATGTCTCAGTCATTCTCAACAGACACACACACGCACATACACACACAAGGTAACTGTGAGGTAATGGGATGTGTTCATAAACCTGGAAATTCTTATATGCCTAAAAGCCTGGATTGCAGAACTTGAATGCATTTATTGATTTACTTCAACAGCTTTGTTGAGATGTAATGCACGTACTGTACAGTGCAGCCCGTTAAAGTGTACAGTTCAATGGTTTTCAGTATGTTCACAGATATGTGCGATCATCATCACAGCAATTTTTAAACATTTTTGTCACTTCGAAAAGAAACTTCAGGGGCGGGCATGGTGGCGCAAGTGGTTAAGTGCGTGCGCGTGCTCCGCTGCCCTGGCCCGGGGTTCCCAGTTCGGATCCGGGCACACCGGCGCACTGCTTGTCCGAGCCATGCTGTGGCGGCGTCCCATATAAAGTAGAGGAAGATGGGTAGGTTGTTAGCCCAGGGCCAGTCTTCCTCAGCAAAAAGAGGAGGATTGGCAGATGTTAGCTCAGGGCCGATCTTCCTCACAAAAAAAAGAAAAAGAAAGAAAGAAAAAAACTCCTCTGCCCTTTGGCATCACTCCCAATCTTCCCATCTTCCTCCTCCAATCCCAGCCCTAGACAATCACTCATCTACTTTCTGTCTATAGTTTTCCCTAGTCAGGTCCTACACATGAATGGAATTATATAATATATGGTCTTTGTGATTGATTTCAATCACAGCACAATTTTTCAAAGCACATCCATGTTGTAGGATGTATCGATACTTGCTTCATTTTTATGGCTGAATAATTCCAGTGTATGGCTAAAACACATTTGTTTATTCATGTTTTAAAGGATATTTGGATTTGTTTTCACCTTTTGGCTTCCATACATAAAGTTGCTAAAAATTCATGTACAAGTTTTTGTCAGAATATGTGTTTTCATTTCTCTTGGGCATATACCTAGGAGAGGAATTGATGGGTCATATGGGAATTATAGGTTTAAGTTTTGAGGAACTGCCAGACTGTTTTCTAGTGTCTGTACCATTTTATATTCGTACCAATTTCTCCATGTATCCTCAGCATGATTTGATATTATCTCACTTTTTTATTCTAGCCATCCTAGTGGTTGTGAAGTGGTATCTCATTGGGGTTTTGATTTGCCTTTCCTTGATGACTAATGACGTTCAGCTTTTTTTCTTATTCTTTTGGTCATTTGTCTACCTTCCTCGGAAAAATGTGTATGCAGATCCTTTCCAATTTTTAAATTGAATTATTTGACATTTTATTATTAGTTACAATAGGTCTTTATATATTTTCAATACATGTGCCTTTTCAGATATATTCCTTGTTCTGAAGTCTGCTTTGTGTAAAATTAATATTTTAAATTCAGTCTGGTCATTCAAAAATCTCTGTTGTACTGAATCTTGTGTTGATGATTGCTTTGTCTCTTTAAAATGTTTTTTTCTTTCCTTTTCATATGCCCTCTAGTTTTTGATTGAAACCCAGATATGATGTATGAAGAATTTCAGGTAAATAGGCCTTTAGAGTGAAGTGTTATTTCTTGAACGGGTATCAGACTATGTTTAATGTTTGCTGCAGCTGGAGGTGTCAGGGGCTTCATAGTCTGTAGTGTCCTTGTACTTATTTCCCTGGTGTGTTTGGATTTCCTAGAAGCTCATTATTAAGTAGAGTCTGTGTCTTGCAGCTCTCTGTTTTAATCCACTGTTTTTATCCTCGGACCCTGCTGATATGGTGTCAGGTATTTGGAAGGGAAAATGTCCTCTTTTGTTATGATGAAACCTGCAATGTTTGGTGATAAAGAGTTCCTCAACTATGAACTTCAGAATGATACCGGCTCAAGACAAGGTTGACATAAGAGAAGCCATACTGTAGAAAAGAAAAACCCTATTGTAACTCTGAATGACCTCTGACAAACTAACCCAGCTGGATGTGTGCCCTCCAGGAGATCTAACTGCTCTGTAGATTTTATGACCCCTGCTTGCCCATGTGCCTCCCAGCTGCGAGAAGATGATAACTGCTTTTTTGAGTTCCTTAGGAATGTGATGACGCCCGAACAGAGAGTCTATGCTGATAGCCATCATCAATGAAAACTGAAAGACCTGGTGTGGCACTCCCAGTCTGTAACACCAGAAGGTCGACATTCCTAACCCCCTCCCCAATAACTGCTATATTATATATAGCTATATATATATATATATAACTGCTGTAAGATTTTGTGCCCCCTTAAGATGGTTCTTTTGGACATGAGTCAGCCATCTTCCCTCTTGCTGGCAAGCTGTAATAATAAAGTCGTTTTTCTCCTACCACCTTGCCTCTTGACTATTGGCATGTCTTGCGGCGAGCAGAAGGCCCCACGTTGGGGGGTGACAAGAACAGGTTCTTAGCATTTATATTTCCTCCACTTTTGTCAGAGAGGAACCTAAATGATGTAATGATGTTGTAAACCTAAATGAACCTAAATGTTAATGTAATGGTGTTACAGGTGTTGCAGGTGTCTGTCTGCACTTTGCCCATCAGATAAGACTTTGACACATTAATTTCCTTTGAGGGAAGGTCCAAGTTACAAAGAAGAAAATGCTTTGTGTGCATATTCAAAATGTTTTCCCCCAATTTCCCCCATGAAGCAGGAGGCAATGTATTCCCATCTTCACTATGAGAACCAGGTTGGGCTGCTGAAGGAAACGTTCATGAATTGTGGGGGCCCCCTAAGGCTGGCCCCCCAAGAGCATTTAACTCTCAAGATAATTTATACTCTGTCTCCAGCAATTCACATATTACAGTTTATGTGTTCCTAGATGTTGCCGGCTCCAGTGGCTTCCATTCTGGGTAAGTGGTTTTTCTCTATCAGTCTCTTGTTTGGGGGTCATTGGTTTTGATACTGGCTCAACACGAGCTTGACATACGGGAAGCCATTTTTGTAGAAAGGGAGCCACATTGTAACTATGGAAAACCTCTAAGTAATTAACCCAGCTGGACGTACTCTGGCTTACATGTAAGCTAGATAATAACTGAATCATAAATATAACTGCATGCGTTATGACTTATGACCCCTGCTTAGCTTTATACCTCCCAGCTGCGATTAGACAGTAACTGTGTTGAGTTCCTTAGAAATGTAGCGACCCCCCGTCTATGGTGCCAGATGGACAACCTTCTTGACCCTCTCCTCCAATGGCAAGGGAAGGGAAGGATTTCCTTATGGTACAGAGAGCAGAGGAGGAATAAAAAGGGTCTGTTATACAGGACACTAGAGCAGGGAAGGAACAAAAGGGGTCTGTTATACAGGACATTAGAGAAGACGATGATGTAATGTGTTACAAACCCTTAACCCCTCCGTTGCACAGGATCAGCCCTTGCAGCCGCCCCCCTGGTGCCACCACCCCTGGAGGCGCCCTCAGTACCTGAGGCAGATGCTCCCCCCTCCTATGAGGGGAGAACTGAAATGGGCCGCAGAGTCTTGGGTTATATTTCACCCTCCCTGACTAGACAGGGAACCCAGTTTGGCCAGGGACCCCCCGCTGGAGCAGGGCGATATCCGTTATGACAGTGGCCAGTGGGGGTTAATGCCCAGGGACAACCTGCCAGATTCATATGGATGCACAGCCCCGTCTCTACCTCTGATTTATTTAATTGGAAAAATAATAATCCTCCTTACCAGGAGGGTCCCCTGTGGATGACAGAACTGTTCTCTTCCATTTGTGCCACCTCTCACCTGTCATGGACAGATGTTCATATTTTAATGAATATTCTCCTAACAGGACATGGAAAGAGATTGATAATAGACAAAGCAGAGAAGAAGCTCACTGGCTGCATCTAGAGGACCCTGCTGGTACATGAGGCTAACACAGCTGTCCCGATATTTGAACCAGCCTAGGATCCTAGCGAGGCTGCAGGGAGAGTCAGACTAGAACACTACAGCGATGTATCTTCACAGGCCTGAGAACCGGGGTCCCTAAGCAAAAGAGCCTAAATAAAATACAAGAAATTCAGCAAAAATCAGTTGAAGACCCCTCTTAGTTC